CAAAGGGAAGAAAGAGAAAGAGTTGTGTCGTCGGCCGCTACATGTTGGGAGAGAAACTGAAGGGTCAGTTCGCTATCCGTGCCTCACAAGGAGAGTGCGGTTGTTTTCCTGCAACATTATGTTATTCTGTGTAGCATCAGACGTTGTCGACATAATCATGCAATGCTGTTATTCTTGACCGAAAAAGAGCCGATGGCAGTGTTGAAAACAGACCTGTCGTCTAGATAGATGCCGTTAAGGGACAGGACTGGAAGGGTCACGCCTGCCTTACAGACTCAACTGAGTCCATCTAAAATATTTTGGTGTTTGGGAGCTAAAAAAAACATATTTTCACGGCTATTGATTGAAAATGTCATATTTTATGCGGAAACTAGCCCAATTAGTTCTCAACATTTACGAAGATTTTTAAAACACTAAACAAAGGTGGCTTATAGAAAATTTTCACATTAATTTAACATTATATTTTAAACGTTTTGAACTAGAGAAAATTCAGTGAAAGCTATGTTTTAAAAGTTATGCTCATTTTCTTTCCAAAAAATTAGGGGTAAGGGTTATCATAGATGACAAAAAATCACAAAGTATTCAAGCTGCTGTATTCATTCTAGTACAGACTGTTTCAGTATTATTCTCTTATGTGTGTGCCAAGTTTAGAGACAGTTTATTACTAACTTTTTGAGATATCATTGCACAACACAGTAAAAACATCAGAAAAATTATTTTTGAGAAATTCGCGAAAAAGTAACTGACCAAGCTAGTTTTCACAAACATCCTCTATCCAATGGGTCGCTGCTGCTTATGAATCCTCCTTAGAGTATTCCTCAATTGTCTGAATACTTTATTTTGCCCTTTTTTCAAAATCTTCTTAACCACCAGTTTGTTCCCTTCTTTGGCAGCTCTTTCACGTACTTTATCAAATCTACGAAATGTGGAAACACTGTGCCACGGCTTAGCCTTGAATAGTTCCCCTTCATTTCATTTAGTAACAGCACCTCTCACATCTATTTTCTTGTTGGAAAATACAGCGATTGTACTATGCCCGTTTTACAATTTCTAACAAATGCGCGAAGTAATTTATTCAAATAGGCTGATAAATAACAGAGTTATGACAGTTTAAATATTTTGCTTATATAATTAAGTAAATAAATAGTTACCAACCAATTGACAAATTATTTTAAATTACTTTCAGCTGTAATTTTGCAACAAGACATAAATTATTATGTGTAGAAATGAATATATTTTCAGGTAGTGTTAAAAATAAAAATTCGACACTTTCGAGAAAATTTAGTGGGGGTGGGGAGATTAACCTGCCCTTAAGACAGTGGACATGGTTCTTACCCCCAGATATCCAGTTCTGGCTTCTCTGATCACCCAGGGTTATGGGATCAACGAAAGCTCCTAAATATATGTACCACATAAGTTTCCGAATTTTCCACAGAGCAGTTGGAAGCGGACAACAGAGAGGATATGACTGACAACTTTATGATTGAGGCCATATTTTGACCCTATCACTTCTCACTCCAACTGCTATATGACATTCTCTACCGTTAAACTTTTATAGAAACTAAAGATAATATAGGGTTTTAATTGTTTTAAAATTATTATCTATTTAATTAAACTACTGAACGTAAAATTTGCCTAGAAAAAACCCAATTTGTCTAGAAAATCCCAAATAACTAGAAAACCCCAATTTGCCTATAAAACCGCAAATTTGCCTAGAAAAACCCAAATTTGCCTAGAAAAACCCCAATTTGCCTAGAAAAACCCCATTTTGCCTAGAAAACCCCCAATTTGCCTAGAAAAACCCCAATTTGCCTAGAAAAAACCCAATTTGCCTAGAAAAACCCCAAAAGCCAAAGTAATGATGGAGTTGGTTCTGCAACGACATGTAAAAGACATGCAACTAAGACAGGGGTCGTGAGTCTGGGGAATTAGGTCTGGAGCTGTCGCCACGTACTGTGCAGGTTAGGATGTTTATTTTTACCTCTGACAAAAAAACTCTATCATCTCACGGGGTGTCCAGCCCGAGTCTCCCGCACCGCATAAGAAAGTCCAGCGTTGTAACCGCTCGGCCTGCTGTTCTTTTATATATATATATATATATATATATATATATATATATATATATATATATATATATATATATATATATATATATGTATATATATATATATATATATATATATATATATATATATATATATATATATATATATATATATATATATATATATATATATTTAACCGAGCGGTTACAACGTCAGCCTTTCTCATGCAAGAGACTCAGGTTCGACCCCCGGTAAGGTGATGCAGTTTTTCCGTTCTTGGTACGAAGAATACTTGGCATTAGCTGGCAAGATAGAAACACAAATGTTGAGGTTTTGGAAGAAGCTGGAGTTCAAACGATTTTTTTAATGCTTAGTCTTTGTAGGCTTAGATGGCTTGGCTACACCTGGAGAATGGAAGATAGTAGAACTCAAAAGGACATCCTCTATTTTGAATTACAGACATGCGGAAGATCTCTTGATCTTTGCTTCGTTACAAAGACGTTTGCAAGCGGGATATAAATGAAACAGGTATTGAGGTAAAATTAGGGGAACAGGATGCCACAGATCCCATTGCATGGAGAGGAAAAATCAGGAAGTGTTTACAGGCATAAGAGAAGGTGATTGCATGTGACGAGCTGGTCTGGACAGCTGTTTCTGTCCTCTTAAAAAGTGCTTTGGTTAGATAATATTATTACCAAAGTTCTAAACATTTTCCTATTGCTTTTAATTAGCATAATAACACTGGATTAATTAAGAAATTTCCTTACCTTTTTCTTAATGCTTTATTGTAGCAAAATTATAATTAAAGAGTTGAAAGGTAATATAGGCGAAGAGTAGGGCAAGGGGGACTGAAGAGTTACTTCCTCCTGACTTCCTGTTCCCTTTTCAATTCAGAAATTGACCGGTTCAGACCTAAAGTTGTTAGTCTGCCTGTGGTCCAATTTTCTGTTTGAATTCCCTGCCAGGGTTCCAGATTGTATTCCAGATGGTATTCCAGATGGTAGTCCAGAAGTAGATCCTAAGCTTAGCTGCAGATACCCGATTGTCCGGACTGGACTGGAAGATTCGGCCTGCCTGATGTGTTTCCGAAGCTTAGTCAGAAGCTGACAACAGAAACCTAAGCTACAGCTAAGATTTAACTAACCTACCTTGAATAACAGGATTTTATATCCACAGCCATTTTATTTAGTTATCATTTGAATTTTCAAAATAAATGTAGTTTTAATGTTCTTACAGTTTTCTGAAGTTTCATTTTAACTGTAAGTGTGTCAGTGAACAAAAGCTAGTGTAATTTAAATACATTTAAATATACAATTAATTACAGTAGGGAATAAGATGTGGGCAAACCCCAAATCCTCTAATTTAACCAGCAAGGCTGGGGGTAATAAAAACCCCTATTAAGATTTACTGTTTGTTGTTCCCTATGTAAAGTGCACGTAGTGCATTCGCTAGTAAAAAGCGAAGTGACCCGCCACAGATTGGGGATCTCGTCCCGGCATAGAACCCACTCACAAAGTGGGATTCTCGTCTCGGAACTTGTCACCTCACTCACAAAGTGAGGCGTTCTCCGGGTTTATAACCTATCACCACAAAGTGAGATATTGTTCCTGGTTTTTCCCTAGACAACAGCATATTTTTTTTATATTTTGTGTTCAAGTGTATAGCCATCTTTGATTTATTTTATGGCATATACTTGAAGAACACTGGGAGCTCAGAGTCATTAGTTACTAGTTTGCCTGTTAAAGTTAACAAAAATTAACTTGGGTAATTATGTAACTGAAATTTACAAATAGTTTAAATGTTCACTGACTTTAGGAAATCAAAATATATAATTGGCTAGGACAATTTTAATTCCCAAATTAATGGTTGCCCATAAGGTTAAGGATTTGTTAAAATGGATTGACAATTGCATTGCTATTTTTTTGATTCTGTGATTGATTATTTGATTGATGCATATGTGATTTGCTTACTAACCCTCTGTTGACCTAATTTTCTGAGTCTTGTCTAGTACTCTATAATTTCAGCAGCAATCATAGGTGATAATTTGCAAACTCCTTGTAAGGGTCACTACAGCTTAACCGAGATGGCAGCATATCATTCTCTATTGGGCAAGACCATCTCAGACTTTGCTGCTCATGAGGCAGGTTTGAGTGGGATTGAGCTAGATATGTATGTCTCTGATTTGTTGAATGCCAAATCTCAACTAGAAGCTAATGTAGGTGTCCAAGGGAGGGAAGTAGATTCTATAGATTGGTTTTTTAGAAGTATAGAAATGGGTCAGGCTTGCAAATTCACAGGTATTAAACTGCTAGAGTGTGTTGCAGAGAAGGTCAAGGAAGATTGGGAGTGGCAACTGGAGTGTGTCCAGATGGAACAGCGCGCACAAGCGAAAGGTTTTAAAGAGGCGGTTGAACATGCTCAGTGGAACCAGAAAGCCTTTGCTGGCGAGCCTTCCCGGGAATTATGGATGTTCACAACCAAAAAGCCAGACACTTCCATGTCAGCCAAAAATGCCTTGCCAAGTACTAGTATCAGTCACTTAGGATCAGTAACTGAAGAAAGATCCCTTACCCCACCAGAATCTGGAAGTGAAAACCCTGGTAGAGAATGTGAGATCCTTGGCAGCTGTCAAGAGATCAAAACTAGTGAGCCTGCGGCTGCAGTGACCACTAGTGGGCTAGCTACCACAAAACTTGAGTTAACTCAGGGTGGTGATTTCTGTCAAGATGGTCATTCCTTGGCAGAAATAAAAAGTGTTATTCCCAAAACCAACCCCATTTTAGATAATATTATTTTATCTAGAAGCTTGCACAGCAAGGAAACTTTGAAGAAGGTAGGTGGCGAGACAGAAGACTTCAGCTCCACGCTGCAGATAGTATCTTGTAAAGCGGAGTCTGTTTATGTCCATGCTCCCACTACTTATTCTCACACGCAGTCAGTAGAAAGTCATGTGCTAGTTAAAGACATAGATTTTTCCAGTAAGTCGAGTGATATCCTAGAGTTTACTGAGAGAAGCAAAAATGCATCTCAGTCCTGCTTACAAGTTAGGGAAAAAGAGTCTCAGGCCTTAGATAAGTCCTTGAGGTCTCAAGGTATGTTGTTGTGTCCCCTCAGAATCAAGGGCCAGCACAACTTTGACTACCAAGAAAATGAGTCTCATGCTTTTGAAAAGCCACTGAGATCTCAGGGTATGTTGTTGTGTCCCCTCAGAATCAAGGGCCAGCACAACTTTGACTACCAAGAAAATGAGTCTCATGCTTCTGATAAGCCACTGAGATCTCAGGGTATGTTGTTGTGTCCCCTCAGAATCAAGGGCCAGCACAACTTTGACAACCCAGGAAATGAGTCTCAAGCTTCTGATAAGCCATTGAGATCTCAGGGTATGTTGTTGTGTCCCCTCAGAACCAAGTGCAAGCACAACTTTGACAACCCAACGACTGCAAATAAGCAGGTCATGAGAGACCAAAAGTCTCGCATCTTGGTCCAATCCAAGATGAGCCAACCAAAGCATTTGTGGACACCTCTTCTGAAAAGAGTTGTGTGTTTCACCAAGACTAGACCGATAGCTAGGCAGACTGCTAAAAAGCTAACTAGGTCTACTGAGAACCCCTTAAAGAGTAAACTCCTTAAGCTCAGGTCTTTTGCCAGTTTAGTTAGGAACATTAATGATCCCAACCCTAAAGCTGGTAAGGCTTATGCCAAATCCTCTGCAACCAGGCCAGAAACTTCAGTCTGTGCCAGTGCAGCCAAGAGGAGGAAGAACCCTTCCTTTACTTCATCATCAGATGAAACCCACAAGACCCAGTCTACGGTTGAGACTGTAGGGTCTGTACACTGTCGTAAGCAGCGCTTACCTTTTCTTCCATGTAAATCCTCCCAGATAGTTTCATGGATAAGACGCACTCAGACAGGTATTTTGAACATTGAACTGATCTTTCCTTCATGCCATCTTTTCTTTGTTAAGATTGTTTCTATTCAGAGAAGCGGACAGTCCGCCTTGACTTTCTCTGGGAAAAGACTTTGGTATGTTAGTCGCAGTCGGTCATATCCGCTGGGACGGGGCTACAAATCCCAGTCAGTTGTTAAGGAGAAATTTTTTGTTCCTATTGAGATCCCATAGCAGATTAATTAGGGGATAATTTAGCAGGTGGATTGTAGGTAGCAGAAACAGTATCCAGGCCAGTTTAAGTTTGATATGTAAATATCAAACTTATCTTCGTTGGGCATATGTGACGAGCTGGTCTGGACAGCTGTTTCTGTCCTCTTAAAAAGTGCTTTGTTTAGATAATATTATTACCAAAGTTCTAAACATTTTCCTATTGCTTTTAATTAGCATAATAACACTGGATTAATTAAGAAATTTCCTTACCTTTTTCTTAATGCTTTATTGTAGCAAAATTATAATTAAAGAGTTGAAAGGTAATATAGGCGAAGAGTAGGGCAAGGGGGACTGAAGAGTTACTTTCCCTTCCTAGGACTTCCTGTTCCTTTTCAATTCAGAAATTGACCGGTTCAGACCTAAAGTTGTTAGTCTTCTGTGGTCCAATTTTCTGTTTGAATTCCCTGCCAGGGTTCCAGATTGTATTCCAGATGGTATTCCAGATGGTAGTCCAGAAGTAGATCCTAAGCTTAGCTGCAGATACCCGATTGTCCGGACTGGACTGGAAGATTCGGCCTGCCTGATGTGTTTCCGAAGCTTAGTCAGAAGCTGACAACAGAAACCTAAGCTACAGCTAAGATTTAACTAACCTACCTTGAATAACAGGATTTTATATCCACAGCCATTTTATTTAGTTATCATTTGAATTTTCAAAATAAATGTAGTTTTAATGTTCTTACAGTTTTCTGAAGTTTCATTTTAACTGTAAGTGTGTCAGTGAACAAAAGCTAGTGTAATTTAAATACATTTAAATATACAATTAATTACAGTAGGGAATAAGATGTGGGCAAACCCCAAATCCTCTAATTTAACCAGCAAGGCTGGGGGTAATAAAAACCCCTATTAAGATTTACTGTTTGTTGTTCCCTATGTAAAGTGCACGTAGTGCATTCGCTAGTAAAAAGCGAAGTGACCCGCCACATTGCAGATAGACTGAGAGAGCTAAGCGTTTGAGAAGAAAAAACAACATGCAGTGACAAAAACGGTCCCGAATTCCCATGCAGCCACTGTGGAAAACTCTTCTTCTGGCTTGCTGGCCTTGCAAGCCAGGTTTGCCAACTCTTTATGGCTCAATAATATCGTCTGGAAAGACGGAAAGGTACCATGTAAGTTAGGTTTGAGGTTTGAGCAACGAATCAACACCATGGCACACTGGTAATAACCCATAAGGGCTCCGTTCTTCTTCTAACTTAAGTCTGAGTCCAAAGAAGCTCGGCACAGTGCACAGGCTCTGTAGCACCGGTGAGGATCCTAAAATACTTTTAGGTCTATTTCTAACTCCAAATTTTGCCCGGGCAGCGCCGTTAGGCTACTTTTTCCGATTTCCAACTGCCAAGGGATTTTTTTTACCTGCTCAACAATGCATTCGGGCGTCCGATCTCACCACCCAGAGAGCAGGGGGAAATTACTAGAAGTCCAAGTCCACGTAAAAAATCCCAGGCCTTACCGGGGATTGAACCCAGAACTTCTAGCACTCAAGGCGGACACCATATGTATGTATATATATATATATATATATATATATATATATATATATATATATATATATATATATATATATATATATCTAACGTTCTACGTTAATTATATTTCAGAACAAACCTTGAGATGGTGCGGATTCTCCAGAAATACAATGGGGCTAATGACATCGAGGGAATCACAGGGAATCGCATGCTGCCTGGACGGTACATGTTCAAACATGAATATATAACAGACGAACAAACGGGTAAGCCTTAACTTAGGCAACCGATTGTCGTGCAGTTTCATCTTCATTATTATTACTACCATCATCATTGTCAACATCATTATCATCATAATCATTATATTCATCATTGTCATTATCACCTGCTCCACTACAACCACCACTATCATGATGACCGTCGTCATCATCACAATCATCATTAGTATCATTATTACTGCCATCATTATCCTCATCATATTCATTGTTATCATTATCATCAGATTATATTAATCATTATTATCATCATCATCATCAACATCATCATCCTTGTCGTCAACATCATCTCTAGCACAACCACCAACATCAACACCATCATCATCCTACTGTGTGTTTGTATGTTATATAGTGTTCGTGGACGAATGAATTTTGCAGTGAATGCTCGAAAGTCTGTCTGCTCGGCAGTTCATTGTGGCAGATGGATGTATGTATGCTTATTATGTGTAAGTTGACTCTAAGACTGCAATGGCCAAACATTATTGCCTGTTTCCTCCAGTTGCTGGTGAGTTTGTTCGGATTCGTAGAAAAAAAAAAAAAATCAAGCTTAGTCCTCTTCCAGCCGCCCAAGGGCCTGCTATATTAAGGACGGTTTCTTTTCTAACTTAGCTTGAATTCTGATTCTGTGTGGCGCAATTTCTCCTGAGTTTGGTTATTTCTGCAACATGTCGGCTGGGCGGATATTTGCGGCTTTTTACTGGGCTAGTTTCTGTCTTTTGGGAGTAGGATTGACATCCCTGATAAGGACTTTCAGTTTTGCCTGGGGCGGCCTTACTACCCTCTCGGTTGTAGATTTATATAGCTTGTGTAAACTGCTAATCTTCTATTTAAAGTGTATGCTGTATAGCATTAGCTATCATGCCTTTCTACAGCCTCCTTCTCCCCTGCTGTTAATCATTTGTGACACAGCTATTTCTCCTACAACGATGCGAAACTCCACTAGCTTCTTTCTTGGTTTCCACTTGCCTACTCCCTTCCCATTCAATACCGGTATTTCCTTTATCATATTATACTCAAAATTTCCCCTTCTCACTAAGAGAACGTGGGCTGTCTTAGTATGAGGGCAATCAGTTTCTCAGAGAATTACATTCTCAAAATCATTTTCATTCTGTATTTTTTTTTAAATATCTACTTACGATGTTTTTATTCACTCTTCTATAAAATTTTATCTCTGCAACTGTCACATATTTTTTCCCTACCAGTCGACCTACTGTCCATGATTCACTTCCTTTGATAAGTACGACCAATACACTTTATATATCATTCATACCAATTTTCTTCCATGCTTAATTGGTTTCTTTTATCTTGGACGAAAAAGAGGAGAAATACTGACATCTTGAAAGATCTAAACATCAAGGAAGACTGGTTAATAAACAGCATCCTGTCTCGGAAGCTGAAATATTTTGGTCATATCAAGCACCACGATGGATTGGAAAAAATGGTAGCAGAAGGCATGATACTAGGAAGGAGGGGCAGGCGCCGACCAACACGAAGATAGGCACAGCATATAAGTGACTCCTTGAGTTTGAAAGTACATGAGGCGGGAGAGCTGGCGAGAGACCGAGTTTCTTTCAGGCAGACCGTAACGAGAGCGACGTTCTGCAAAGGGCCTGCTACATGATGATGATGTGTGTATTTCTTATTTACTATTTGTATAAGTTTTTGTGCTGTTTATTAAGCGTTACTAAAATCATGAACGCGGAAGAACTACAAAAAAGTTTTGGATTCTACAACTTTCTGTTAGTGTCTTGAGAACATATGGCATTGTTTATGTTCTACCCCTGTATAATTAAAAACTGTTTATCGTTTGTTTATTGTTTTCTCCTCTCTTTTCTTTATTCTTATTTTATTTATTTTAAGTAATAAATTTGATGTGCAATTTATAGGACTTTGCGATATGTGTTTTCATATATGTGTTTTTCATAGGTCAACTTAGAATGGTCCAAACTAAAAAGAAGCACCAGCCGCCTCCCTATAACTTGAGTGTGGTGAAAGGAAGCGCCTATGGAACATTCTCCAGGAAGTTTATCCAGTTTGTGATCGACAGTCCAATAGCCAAAGATCTCCTGCAGTGGGCAAAGGAAATCAATAGCCCAGACGAATACTTTTGGGCTACCTTACATCACAGCACCGAAGTAGCGGTTCCTGGTGGCTACACAGGTAAGGCTCTACACATATGAATATGATGGGTTGTGCGGGCCCGTTGGACGCGAGTAAAATGCACAAACAGATTATTACTGTCTGAACAAAATGATGCATCGAGGAGTTACCAGAGAGCAGACATGGAACGAGACGGACATTCAATCGAACTATTACTGGTACGATCAGAATTGTATCTCTGAGCTAACTGTTGAAGATGGAGTGAACTCTGCGCTTACTGCTGAAGATGGGGATGGGGCACTTATAGAAATGTCACAAGTGCTATGATGTCAACTTCCAGCTCATAACTCAATAAAATAAACAACCAAGTGTCTATAGAACCCATGGAGTATACCAGATAGCTCCCTTGTTTAAAATGCCAGAGAAGAGAGATTACTCTCTAGCTGGTATAGCATTTGTTGTCCTGATCATGATGCATCAAGTCAGCAGTGCTGTATGAAGCAGAAACCTGCTGCATTTTGTCACAATGACATGAGATCAAAGCAAACACACTGTGACAAAAAAATTGGGGACAACTAGCAAGCCTGATAGAGGAAGCGTTATTAGAATGCTCAGTTAAATACCTTAACGGCTTTGGCTGAACAGTAACTCAGACCAGATGCGTGATTCTAAGGATTGCATAAGATGGCAAACCATGCTCGTCTGTGGCATGGAATATAACTGCCGAAACATTTGCTTGATCACGTTAGTCCTGCTGTTTGGTCTGCGTCTGTGGCTTAGGCATTGAGAACACAAATTGTAATGTCAGGGTGCAGGGTTCGATGCCAACTGCGGGCAAATTGGCTGCAGAACGTCTTGAGTTGGTTTCACAGTGGTAACGAGAGCTGACCGTTTAGTTATCAATGATAAACTCTAAATGAAAAGTATGCCCAGAAAAACCAACACTCTCCCCCCCCCCCACCCCCATGCTGAAATTGGTTCTGTAAGGTCCTGTAAAGTATTAGCAACTAACTTTAACTGCTGTTTGAAATTGAAACAGAAATATGCTTTGTCAAGTCTGTGATGTTGTATGGGACAGAACCACAATGCATCATGTCATTACTGTTGTGTGGGACACAAGCCGTCAAGTCTGAACAAACTATTGAAAAGACGTTTACAAAAACTATTACACATCAGCCGGAGAGAGACATACACCCACGTATACATAGCAAGCAAAATATGAAACGTTATAATGTACTGAGTTTACTCTGAGCATATACGGGCGTATATGTACGCGTAAGTGGCTCAATCGTCTTTGTTCCAGCTTAGTCAGTTTTCTTGTACTCTGAAATAACCGAAAGACATTCATATTCATTTGCTTCAGCTGACAACATTTTCACTCTTTGGTCCAGGAACAGAACTGCATCGTTCTATACTCTGTCATGATCTATTAAAGGGACACAACACACACTAAAAACTAACTGGATAGTTATTCTAAATGCAGTTGTCTAGGACTGAAGAGACAAGTCAAGCGCCCCCCCCCCTCCCCCTTTTTCCACCCAATTTCCCCACTAATTTAAGTAAAGGTGACTTAAAAATAGTTTAAAAAAAAAAAAAAAAATAATAATAACGACAAACACAACACAAGGATGGTCAACAATGAATAATCAACGCTTGAACGGAAATCTTGCAAACAAATCATTATAATCCCTGTCCAAATGTTTCGTACTGTCGTCCCCATAACGGCTGAACGGTTTTCGGGACCTTTCCACGGGTGATCCTCATCCGTATGGTGGCATTTTGTGTCACCGGGTGTTTATCGCTTGGGTTATGTTCTGGTGGGGTACAAATCCCTACCTACCTACCTCCATCCAAATGTGGGACCAATAATTGTTAGTTATTTTAAAGCCCCACCCTGGTTCTTGCCGAGGGCCCTAATTTAACCAAATGGATGAACGGGGTTTCCATGACCTCTTCACGAGTGATCATCATCTGAATGGTAGCACTTTGTGTCACCTGGTTTTCATCGCTTAGTGTGATGTCCTGGTGGGGCAAAAGGTCAGTCAGTCACACAAATTTTTAGATAAATTATTAAGAAAATCACCAATAACCAATTAATTTAACATATATTGCAATTAAAATATTTCCTTTGGGTTCTCTCATTTTACGCCATTTCAAGCATAGTGCGATACCATGAATTAGATTCTCGCTAATTAGTAACCACAACGCAAAAGACAGTTTCCATACAAAAAGTGCATTATAAATTATGAATTGGGTTATTTTCGGGGCATTCCATAGACGTTTATAGGTATTCATATTTCGCCCCTTAAAATACACATGAGCGACCCGTGGTTACTATTGACAGTTCAATGCTGGCTGACATAATGTCTCATACGTTACATCATTCGTTACTCTTAATTTTGCACAAACTGGGTATTGTGAGGGCCCTTTGGGAGCAGTTTCGAGGAACACATAGATCATTACAGTCTGAGGAGAATGGCACTGTGAGGAGTTACAGGGGGATCTGGCCGACGCTCGACACTCAGGGGAAGGGCGAGAAGGATATACAATCAGACAGTTACTAGTACCATTTGAATTTTACCTCATAGCTTGCTGTTGAAGGTGAGGATGGAGTGCCTATGGGACGATTCAGAGTGCCGTTATGTGGATTCTTAATTTAACATTCAAAATTCTCAATTTTGCGTGCCTAGCAGCGATGCGGAAAATCCTCTAGTCTTCCTCTGTCGAAAGGAGCTTTAACAATGTCGCCGAGACCCATAGACCAGCTACCAGTCTATCAGTTCTTTCATTGTCAGTGATGTGAAAGTACTTTGCTCACAAACGTGATTGAAAGTTAAGTTTCCCTAACCCTAACCAAGGCCGCCAGAATTCTGTGTGCTAGGACCATGAAATAAGACCTATCCAACGTCCACACAATGTGTACCAAAAAATGACTAGTATAGGATTGACCAGAGAAGGCAGGGGATTTCTGAGCTAGTGGACCCCAGCGATTCAGTGCCCAGACAACCTTTGGCACTAATCAACCCACCTCAATTCTTCGATTGCAACATCTAAAGAGAACTCATTGTACAGTGGGCGAGGTTCATGGCCCAAGCGTCCTACTACATGACAATGTGCAGGTGTGTTCCGACTGAGAGTCTCACTAAATGGGAAAAAAGGGATGAGGCTGACTAGTTATCCATGGAAGGATCAACGTTTCCTTGGAAATCGAAGTGCATCTGCCTGACAGGCAAGGAAACAGCAGACTGAACATGTTTGTAAAACGGACAAACATTCAAACTCAGTTCATGTAACAAAGCTACATTCCATAAATGGACGAACAACCAGTTTAGTGGGAGTTTACAGCGGTGAACATAAACAACAAACAACATTGTCAACAACCCCTCGTATCACCGGTGACAAAGATGAGGGTAATTCCGCGCACGGTGCCAAGGCTTCTCCGAGCATAATATGAACTATTGACAACATTAATGCTGTTGGACACTCGCACGGAGGGAACAGAAAAGACTGCACGCAGATACAATGGAACGTTTTGACCAAAGTTTTTATCGACGGAATACTAAACACAATACACATGGTGATAAGAAAACACAGTGTTCCAGATACCAGAGTTTGTACATAACCAAGCTAAACATGAAATCAAGAAATATGTAATAGTGTAAGAAAGCTGGTTCACGTGTAATAACGATTGGTTAACTCTTGTAAGTAATATGGCTGGCTGTTGTGGGAACCGACACACCTTTCTTCAATTAACAATCGAACAGCCGTCAGTTTCCAAATATAGTAAAGTAAAGTACAGGACCCTTTTAGACGCCTTAAGGCGTATAGGGCTAGACCTATATTTGTATAGACCAATCGGCACAAGATGGGTGATGTGGTCAGTTTCACACCGGCCGCCTTCACTTTCCCGGGACTGCACCCGGTACCCACTCACGGCTGGGTCGACCTGGGAGCCAAAGTAATTTTTGAAAAATTTCCGGCTTCGCCAGGGAGCGAACCCACGACCTTTCGATCCTCGACGAGCGTCTAGCCGCTCGGCCACGGCGACTCCCTAGTTTCCAAATATACATGCTATCTATTATTCTTCCTGATTCTCACATCTCACAGTTACAGTCAACATCGCTGTTCGTTCCCACAATACATCCGCAAAGATCTTTCACAGGACGTTCAGACATTTCAGTTACCTCATCGCAACTATCCCAATTGACCACGAGTCAACCTCGCTCTTTAGCTAGTTCAAATCTCATGTGCCGTGGTGCCTTTCAAGTTTTTGTGTGTGTTTGGATTGCTGTGAGCGTGGAGACCATGCAACGCGGGATTCTCACAAGTAGGAAGAAATATGGATTTTAAGAACGGACTGGAAAGTAATTGCAGTCAACCTGCATTGCCGAGATGGTACTTAATTGATTGAATAACTGAAGGTCTGTGCTGCGAAATAAAATCACTAAAAAGGCGTTTAGAATTAAAAATAGAATTAAAAAATAAAACGAGAAGCATAAAAAAAGACCAATAAGCATTCATTAGGTGATGCATTTGATATCACAAAACCATCATTATTTCCCTGGACATTTCCTGACAATCTTTTAAGGCTGAGGAGACAGTTGACATAGATCCCCTACAAAAGCCCATTGGTTGCTCATTCAAGTAAATATTTTGTTTTGTTTTTTATTTTATTTCTAGCAGGGAAGCCAGATCTGAAGCCCTGGCTAACAGTCTACGCTTCGTGGGATGGTAGGGATCCATGCGCCACAATCCACAAGCATTCAATTTGCATCTTTACCCCTAGCGATCTTCCAGATCTGATGCAAAGAAACGAACTGTTTGCCAACAAGTTTTACATCACACACCACCCTGCTGCTCTCCATTGCTTAGACGAACTCTTGTTCAACCTCACCTTCACCAGATCTACGCGCAACCTGACCTACTACGACAGTCTTCCATTTGCGTTAAAAGTTAATTAACTAGCGCTCGAAAGTCTTCCACTTGCGTTAAAAGTTAAGTAACGCGCTCGCATGTGTGTGTGTTATAACAATATTTTTGTGTTGGGAGTATTCTATGATAACAAATTCTCATTTTCGTTTTAAGTGTTTCCTATTGTTGACATAATCATGTCTCTGTTTGGATTGTTTCCTATTGATAACAAAGTTACATATCTTCATGAAGTATTTTCTATTGTTAAAAAGGTACCAGTTTTTTCGAAGAATTCACTATTGTTAACAGTGTTACATTTCTGTTTGAAGTATTCATGTTTGTGAACAACCCATTTAGTTTTGAAGTATGTCATATTATTAACTAAGGCAAGTTGAAGTGTTCTCTCTGGTTAACAACGTCTTCTTGTGTTTAAAGTATTCGCAGTTGTTAGCATGTTTTAAATTTGTTTTTAAAATGCATTTACTGTATTTAACAAAGTCACAGTTCTCTTGTGTGATTTCCGTAATTAATATGTGAAAACAGATTTTAGTTGATGTGAATGTTGATATTACCATTTTAATAAAACCAAACCCGTCTTAATCATTTATTACGAACGAGTAAACGTAAGCAAGTCTGAATTAAGCATGTGTCAAGCAGCCATCCAGGTGGTGGGGTAATCAGCAATAAATACAAGCAGTCGGACATGCATTCCACTGCTTGAGAGGTATAATGTCCATGAAGGACTTTGGTGCTCAGTGAACCATTTGGTCCCCATTGGAAAGTGTGTGGAATCCTCCAAATATTCACACCCTGTCATTGACTGTTATTTTTTGTCACACACTAGTCAACCATATATACTGTGTGTAGTTAGTTAGTTAATAGAAAGACTATCTTCATTGCACATCGGACAAGTCAATAAGCGCTCGGATCCCATCTTTAGTATGTCTCTTCAATGTGTGGCGACTGATAACACCCGTTCTGTGTTGGTTAACTATTCTGCTTTGGCTACCTATGTAGTGTTCATGTTTGACGACAACTTTTGACCTGAAGTTCTTGAAGTCTTTTAAGTGTTGCTGATTCAACGTCATCTCTTGAATAATTTTGCGTGTAGCTTGCGATGAGTGGCTGATTTATATCCTATAAATGTAAGGACCTGAAACATGAAGAGCATCTCGCTGGTCCATTCTTGCTACAGATTATACGCATGCTATAAGAAAATACTATTGCTTCATGGTTCTTCGGTCATTTCTTATTAGTAGGTCTTTCTTTCTGCTTAAAAAAAAGAGGCTCGGCACTCAACATAGTGTGAAAAAGGTACGGTTGCTCCCTACAGACTATCTAATAATCATCATCATCATCATCAGGTGCCTTGCCGACTGGCGTGGGCGATCATGCCTCTCCACAATCTGCGATCTCCTGCAGCAAGTATCATCAGATCGTGTGCTGACACATCTCTATGCCATGCAACAAGACTGTCAAGAATCTTCTCTCGTTGTCTTTCTCTATCCCTCCTTCCACAGATCTTTCCAGTGGTCTCAACATGTTCTATTTTCCCTCTTCTCATAACATGGCCGAAAAAATGATGACTGTCTCCTTCTGATGTCTGTGATAAGTTGTCTTCGGGCTCCCGCCTCTTTCAAAACCTCTTGGTTGCTCTTTTTGGCTGTTCAAGGTATTCTAAGCATTCTTCTGTAAAACCACACATTTCTGAGCATACTGAGCTCATCAACATCATCATCCATGTAACACTCCATGTCGCTGTGTCACCAGTTTTTGTTGACTGTCTGATCAGCTCTCTCCACCTTTAGCGGTCAGTTGCGACGGACTTCATGGTTGCGACGGACTTCATGGTTGCATGCCTAAAGGCCTGTCCAGTCAGTCGTTCCGTCTCCAGGTCTTTCTTCGTCTGCCTCTCATATAGGACTAGACCTATAATTTGTAGCCAAATCGACACTTGGTTGGTGATGTGGTCAACATCGCGCCGGCCACCTTGACTTTCCATGAATTTACCTCGTACCCGTTTAAGGCTAGGCAGACTTGGTTCTATTTTGAAGCATTTGTTTATACATAATATATAAAAAAAATAATATTAATATTAATTATTATTGTTATTATTATTACAGCAGACTTTGTTATTATCATTGCAACTAAACAAAGCTGACTCCCCCCACCCCACCCCCCCCCCCCCCCCCCCAAAAAAAAACCACCATGTTTTCTGTGTGTCGGTGAGTCTGGTTCAAGTATTGATTTCAGCATGGCTAGAAGTGCTCTCTCACAGACAGCTATTATTCGCAGCGATGCCTTTGTTGCTTGAACGTTTATAGTAGGTAATTAGTTCGTGTACCCTTTTACCGCACCGTTAGTGCTTCTTCAAAGAAACATAACTTCTGTGCCATTTATCAAGTACATAAGTAAGAGAAAATGAGTTTCTCTGTTTATTGTATTTGTATCGTTCTTTGAATGTTTTTTTTAATCCTCTCTCTCTCTCTCTCTCTCTCTCTCTCTCTCTCTCTCTCTCTCTCTGTGTGTGTGTGTGTGTGTGTGTGTGTGTGTGTGTGTTGTGTGTGTCTGCCGCAAAAGTCGACTACTTGTAGGTTTCCCTTTAAGTGAGAGTGCATCTAATGAGAGACAAGGAATTAACAGTCTGCATACAAATAAGCTAGATGTCAAAAATGGATTCCAGATGTCTAAAATGGATTCCAGATCTCTAAAACAGATTCCATCTCTAAAATGGATTCCAGATATCTAAAATGGATTCCAGATCTAAAAAATGTATTCCAGATGTCTAAAATGGATTCCAGATATCTAAAACAGATTCCATATCTCTAAAATGGATTTCAGATATCTAAAATGGATTCCAGATCTAAAAAATGGATTCCAGATGTCTAAAATTGATTTCGTATCTCTAAAATAGATGCCAGATATCTAAAAGGGATTCCAGATCTCTAAATGGATTCCAAATCTCTAAAATAGATTCAGGATGTCTGAAATGGATTCCAGATTTCTAAACTGGATTCCAGATCTCTGAAAGGGATTCCAGAACTCTAAAATGGAATCCAAATATCAAAAATGGATTTCAGATCTCTCAAATAGATTCCAGATCTCTAAAGAAGATGTGCACAGAGAATGCAACTTCTAGAACAAACTAGGAAGTGGACGAACAGCCGGAACTTTCCCCCGGAGTTTACAGAAAATAAAGCTACTGCCGTCCTGAAAAGTCGGCGTCTGTGGCCTAGGCGAACGCGCTTCGTAATGCCTGGGTGCCGGGTTCGATCCCAGCTGCGGATTGTTTGTGATTCGTTGGTTTCGACAGTAGTATGGAGAGCTGACCGTCAGTACAATGGCACTCTACTGAACATAACATTTGCCTAGAAAAACCACAACTACCACAAGATGCTGGTGTTGTTTCTGCAACGTCCTGTAAAGAATACACAAGTTATTTTTTTTTTAACCACACTGAGAAACACATTTTTAAAATCGATGGGGCTCCCATTTCGATCCAGCCACAACCTTCTCTCGGCCTTGATCCAGTTTACCAGGAATGTAAAGGCGGTCGATATGAAGTTGACCTTATCACCTCCCCCTTCCCCACCCTCCCCATGTAAATGACATCTGGTCTATAAAAATTACATGTCGAGCATTAAAAGATCGATGCCTTTTGCGCAAAAAGGCTTCTTTACTTATGTTCTTTACGAAACTGCCAAATTGCTAGCGAAGAAGAGCTGCAATCGACCTTTAACTCATGCGCATTAGTATTCATTGCATTTGCATAAATTTATGTTTCCTAATTCCATTATACCTGTCTGGGTAGTATACGTTTACTGCAAGACAGTTGTAGACTGACATCTAACACATGGTAAAGTATTCAAGGAGGCCTGCGTGGTCTCGAGGCACAGTGTCCGCCTCGTATGCTAGAGGTCCCGGGTTTAGACCCCAGTGAGGGCTGGGATTTTTTCACCTGGATTTTTTTATTTGATTTGATTCAAGAACCGACATCACAGTACTCGGTGCATTACCATAAGTTATCCGTCCCTATCTTCAGCAGCCAGCGAAGAGTTCCGATTCTAATGGTGCCAGTAACATTCTGATTAAACGTCCGTCTTGCCTTTCCTCTGAGCCTCGAGCATATGCCAGAACCTATCTTCACTCCCCCCTGCATCAATCTCACCAGACTGTGGTGATCCATCTGCTCCTCCGAACTGTAAAGGCTCTCCCACAAGGAACTAACCACCTGGACTTTTAGTAAGTTCCCGTTGTCTCTGGGTAGTTAGATCGGACGCCCGTGTGTATTGTTGCGTAAAAAGTAAATACTTTGGCCTTTGGAAATCGAAAAGAATAGCATAACGGCACTGCCAGGCAACATTTGGAGTAAAAAATCCACCCAAAGTATTTCAGGATCCTCGCGGTGCTACTGTCTCCCTGCACTGCTCTAATCTACTTCGGACTCAGACTTGAGTTAGAAGTAGAACGGAGAACTTATGGTACCGTGTACTATGATGTTGATCCTTTGTCCGAACCTCAAAGTATTCAAAAAAGATTAACTGAGAAGTGTTAGACAGCATTATAAATACACTTAAGAAGCGGACGAGTTTATTTCAAATTCTCTGAACCTCCACATGTCATCGACGACCATTGGCTCGCCGGTAGATGACATCATCCCTGTCGGTACAGTACTTGGGTCTGTCTCCTTCGATCGCATCAACACTTCAGGAGTCCTTTGCATGGCTCTTGGGCTCTTGCATTTTATATGACTCACATAATCTAGTCACAATTATGCCCTAAAGCTCACACCTTCGTGAAGGCTGGTTGAACGCGACGATTTTGTTTTCAAGCAAAGCATCACCACCACCGTCGGAGTGTTAAGACTTGAGTGGTGGAAATATGCAATTCTCATTCTGTTACCGGTCGTCCCCATGTGGTATGCAATTGTTTGTTTTGTGAAGCCCCTCCCTGGATTCTGTCGCTTGCCCTGGATATAGTCATTGAATAAATATGGTTTAGATATAAATATGGCCATACATTGACTTTTGTTTCGTCCAGCTAGCTCCGT